TATGTCCCCACCAATGTCAAAATCAAACCTTCACCCTAGTTCAAAACATGTTAAATGAAATGTCCGGCGAGGATAACAGGTTCACAATCTTGAGCTTTTAGTAGAAGGGAAAAAGAAGACCAAATTATTACTGTGGGCAAGATTTCGGTCTTCACAGGATGCATTTGTCTACATATTTGCGTTGCATGTCATGTGCAGTTACCCTGCCGCTTTACGTTCATTAGTTTAGAGAGGAAATGAACGTAATTAAAATCTTTCTGGGAACCGACTGCCAGTTCATACACCCCGTCTGCTACAGATGAACTTTCCATTCATTAAGCTCTGAAAACAATTTTCTGAGAAAATCACCTGATGAATGACGCTGAGGAACAGCCTAAATGTGTCTGAACAAAATGAAGTAGTGCTCAAATCATCCTGTACATGATGATGAGAAAAAAGATCAATTAACAGACTCGAAAGGCTGTCAAACTAAGTGTCGGTTCACCTAAAAATAAAAATTATGTCATTATTTTATACTCACCCTCATATCGTTCCAAACCTGTTTTCTGTTGAGCCCAAAAGGATAATTTCTGAAGAATCTTCATGCAGGTCTTTTCTACACAACGGCCACGTCTGTCAAGCAGGGTTGTGCAAAAAAGTTTTCGATTTGAATGAAATTGGTGCAACCTGACTGGAAGCTGGAATTTGAATTGAAATGACAGGAAGTGGAATTTACATGTAATTGAAATTCAAAGAAATTTGATTTTTTGGGGTGCATTCTGGGAAATGAAGGGTTCTTCAACCCTGGTCCATAAAGGCCAACAAAATATTCAAATTTCAAGACTTTTTAACTTTTTTTATTATCTTAAACGAGGTTATGGGGTCAAATTGAAATTCTGGTTCCTCTTTGCTACCTTAGTTCAGGAATTGAATGAGAATTCTAAGGGAGCGTTTACACAACGTCATTTTCAACTAAAAACAGAACTTTTTATGTGTTTTGGCTGTTCATTTACACGACAATGGCACTTTGGGACCTAAAAACGCAAATTTTTGAAATGTGTTTTGAAGATGATACCATTATCGTCTCCGTGTAAACTACAAAAACACAAATCTGTGAAATGGTGATTACATGCGCATGAATATTACATGTTCACATAGTGTTTCTCTACAAAGTGACATTGGCAACTACTGGCCTGGCATGCATCATACAGCATTTTAAGTCACTTTTCACAGATATGTGTGGACGGGGATCATTTTGACAATGCTGTCGTCTGTATGTGAAAAAACACAAAATTTTAAGCACACTGTTGTAGTGTAAACACAGCCTCAATTAGATTCTGAATGGTGCACAATCCAGCAATCAAGCCAGTCAAGTCATATGATAGATTTGTAAAGGAACAGACAAAAGTGTCAAACATCAAACTATCAATTATTGTTCTCTTCCTCACACAAAACTATCCTATGACTTCAGAAGACAGCATTTTTCTTTTCAACAATAAGTCTTCCTTTACAGAAAAAAATACCCCAAGCCTTTTCTCTGGAGAAAGAAATGATCATTTCATAGTACAAAACGGTATTATGCATGTAAACACAATGAGCCGTGAGCCGTGAAAGAGCAAACACCACAAAAACAAAAAAATAAAAGACAACCAATAAAATTTTCCGGCATCCTGCACCAGATATTAAAGTATAGGACTTTTGTTTTCTTACTGTTGCATCCTATTACAATATAAAGCCATTTTTTTAATGAAAAAGACAGAAATTAGTAGTAGCACAATTAGTATTTTCCGTTCTCACGTCTAACATGTCATATTAAAGCACGCAGATGTAATTAGTCAATGCTTTTGGAAACAATCACATTTTGTCAGCAGCCACAATGCATTTATAATTTCAAACTGCTTGTCATCTTTATTTTCTTTTTGAGTGAAGGGAAGTTCAAGGCATGAATTTTTACTGTTTTTTTCATCTGTGACTCATGAATGTTTCTCCTCCTCTTCTTCGTACGGTAACTCCTCCTCTACCTCCTCCACCTGCTCTCCTGCTTGGCCTCGGTTGGGAGAGATGTTACCGTGGCCAATGTCCAACACCTGAAGCCTGGACAGGTGAGAAAAAGACTCTTCGGACACCGAATGAACTGAGAGACGGTTAAATCTGAGGGAGAAACAGAACGACAGGCGGAGAAAGAGTAAATGCAAAGGAAGCGTCACGTAAGGCTGATTTTAAAGTCTAATTTCAGAAACATCACAAGTAAAACCTGCAAATCAAATGCAATTTGGAAGACATTATCAGGCAGGCCATCCCATTCCGGTTTAAACAGCAAGAGGAGCGAATTCTTAGAAATATGAGTGGCTTTCAAATCAAAAAGCAGGAGTTCAGCGAGGATGAGCAGCACTCCAGTCCGTACTGTTATAAATAGACTAGCTAAATTGCTAAAAAAGTTACACTGACATGGGTTGTAATGGCTCAGGCATGTCCATTAAGAAACATCCATCGAGTCCATGATATCGCCTGTCCACCTGAGACTGAGCACAGAGTGTTTTATTGATGCACATAAATCCATCTTTTTCATTTTCTTCCATCTTTTTGATGACAGAGACAGATCAGACAGGTCATTCATTATGTGCAAGAGGAATCTGCCTCTCCCACATGAGTATTAGGTCTGGAATCAAGTAAATATCGCAATTGAACTTTTTTTTTTCACTGACATTAATGCTTCTGGAACATCTGTGTTCTTCTGCCAATGTGAATGACCATTTTCATTTTTGGACAAACTACTGTTCCTTTCATATTGCTCCTGCAAAGCTGTATTGCTTTATTATTTTTTTTTCTTGAATATTATAAAAGTCCTTAAGTTTTACAGAATAAAGAACAATGTAGGTCTACACTTGTTAAAAAAAAAAGGATGATGTACTATTCATTTTCTGCCACAACATTATCCAGTAATTTTACAGACATTTCCATTCACTCTAAAACACAATGCAATGGAGTGCAAAATAAAAAATATAGGTAAAACACCTGTAAAAGAGCAATATGGAAAAATCCTTCATGTTACTATAATACATTGTGCCCTATGTTTACAGATTTTTTTTTACAGTGTAGCGACATAAAATTCTTTCCATTTTATTGTCAATTGAAATGACATGCTATTTTATCACTTTTTTTTCAATAAAGCACTTTTCATTATTTTAATGACAGCAAATATTTTCTTCATAGTAAATATTTAGAGACTGTTTCACTAAAGTACAGTTTTTAATTATGCTTTTCATCATGGTTTTTACTGCACCATATGGTGTCTGAAATATAAATATTGTTTATATTATTTTATTATGTGCTAGACAAAATGTATTGTTCCGACATAGTGACCTATTTGCAGAATGTAAGATAAAAAGAGTGTTTATAATTTTAAAATATATATTTAGAATATACACCATTAAAACACACAACCAGTACCTAAACTAGTCCAAATCTCTGTGTTTCAGATGTTTCTGAAACCGATAATCGGGTCAGGATGAGAAAACTGAAATCTGTCCGTTCTTTCATTCACTCCGCATGCTCTCAGTTTACAGTCTGAACGCTCTTACTGTATGATTTTATTGAAATGTTCTCGCCTCACGTTATGTGGGAGTAAGTGCAGCTGTGAGAGCTTCAATATTGAGTTCATTACAGCAGAGCAGATCCAACTGAGCACGAAAATCACCGTTTCAGAAAACGAAACACACAAAAAAACTCTGATCTGAGCACACAAACAATCAGAGTTGTGTGAATGTGTTTATATGTACAACAAAATGCTGATAGCTATTCAAAATAAAACTCATTATAAAATCCAACAATGCGAGAAAACCATGTTTACATGAGATTTTGATCTTGTCTGGTTTTTATCTAGTTTTGACACCAAAAATAAACATTGAGTGTCTGCATGTGTTGGTGCTTGTCTAAGCCGTCAGAACGGCTGTAAAATGTGTTTACATGCAAAATCAGTGCAATCATTTACAGCTCATTTACATGACACATCTATTCCATTATGATTTAAATGTGGAGCAAACATACATTTATATGTAATGCATCTAAAGTACTGTTCAAAAGTTTGAGGTCAGTAAGAAAAAAGAAAGGAATACTTTTATTCAGCAAGGATGCATTCAATTGATCAAAAATAACAGTAAAGGCATTTATAATGTTACATTTATAAATAAATGCTGTTTTTTTTTACGTTCTGTTCATCAAAGAATCCTGAAAAGTAAAAAGTATCTCAGTTTCCACAAGAATATGAAGCAGCACAACTGTTTTCAACATTGATAATAATCAGAAATGTTTCTTGAGCAGCAAATCAGCATATTAGAATGATTTCTGAAGATCATGTGACACTGAAGACTGGAGTAATGATGCTGAAAATTCTGCTTTACCATCACAGGAATAAATTACATTTGAAAACATATTCACATATAAAACAGTTCTTTTAAATTATACAAATATTTCACAATATTACTGTTTTTACTGTAATTCTGATCAAATAAATGCATCCTTGGCGAGCAAGAGGAGACTTCTTTCAATTTCTTTTTAAGGTTTTAACTGAAAATTGTTTGAACAATCAACTAGTGGGACGCCAGCCATTCTTAGCGAAAGGATGAAAAATAGTGAAAAGTGGAAAAGACAAAAAAGTAAAGGATCAGCGAGTCACCTGAGGAAGATGCCTTTGATGTTGGGTGTGTTGAGGAAGGCTGTGTCTGAAACAGAGCTGATTCTGTTGTTCTGCAGGTGAAGGAACTCAAGAGACTCGGGCAGGTCAGAAGGAATGTGTGACAACATGTTAAGGGAGAGATCCAGCGTCTAAAAAACACACATAAAACACATTCAAGCATCCTCTTTCTTCATATATCAAAGGGAGTTACGGCCAAGCCTTTGAAATGGGAAATTGGACTTTACAGTCTAGAATCTTTCCTTGGCTGGAAACAGCACTTATGAAATCATGCAGTGAAAGAAATTGCTTCTTTTTATATATTTTTTTCCCCATGTAAGAGTGTAGGGTCTGCTTTTCTTATCCAGCTGATAAAAGAAAACAAGCTCTCTCTGTAGTTACTTACTCCACAGGCAAAATAAAAAAATAAATAATTTATTTTCATGAGGTTCACTTATAACATTAGTCAAGGTTATTTGCACAATAATGGTAATCTAGATGATCACTTGACTAACTTTACCCCATTTTCTATATTTTTATTATTTATTAAGAGCATAAAGTCTGCTTTTCTTATCCAGCTGATAACAGAAAAACAAGTTTAGCCCACACAGGCAAAATAAAATAAAATAAAAATATATAACAAAAAATTAAATGAAATAAACTATAAAAATATAAATAAAAAATATAAAACAAAAAATGATGTAAAAAAATTAATAAAAAAATAAAATAATATGAAATGAAAAATAAACAAAATAAAAATAAATTATTTTAATGAGGTAACATGGTAACATGAATCAAGGTTACTTGCACAAAAGTCTAGTTGATCACTTGAGAAACTTCACCCCATTTTTCTATATATTTATTATTCATGAGCCCATCAGTCTGTCAGAAATGATCATGTTTTATATTACTAGTAGTATGTTTAACAGAAAAACTCAAGCCCCCACAAGCCCCCAAATTCTCTAAGCTCTGTAAAATGCATTCATTCATTTTCATTCATGCATGGTTGCCACATTTTGTTCTAATCAAGTTCAATCATAAAAATTCTTGACTGACTGATGATCTCTCACCGTGAGCGCGCTGAGCTCTTGCCAAGCTCCCTGGTAGATGGAGTTCAGCTTCAGTTGATTGTTGGTCAGGTAAAGTTCCCTCAGCGAACTCATTCCCATCAGAGCTCCTTCCGGTACCTCAGCCATCTGATTGTCCTTCACCTTCAAAACCTGGAGGCTCTTGGGAAGACCCACTGGCAGTGTCTGCAGCTTGTTTCCCGACAGATCCAGGGTCTCCAGGATGCGGAGCTTCCTGAAGGCCTCTCTGTGGAGCTTGGCGCTGGTGAGGCGGTTGTAGCTGAGGTTGAGCTCCGTCAGGGTGTAGAGCGTGATCAGATCGTTGCGTCCGATCTCGCCGATGAAGTTGTGGAGCAGCATGAGGGTCTTCGCGCGGCGAGGAAGTCCGCGGGGAACGCGCTCGAGAAGGTTGTTGTACATGTGGACGGTGTGGAGTCGTTTGAGACCCTGGAAGGCTGATGGATGGATGGAGCGAGAGCGGAGGCGGTTGTTGTGGAGGAGCAGGTACTCCAAATTTCGGATGGGCGTCAATGCGTTGGCTGTGATGCTCTGGATGGAGTTCTTCTCCAAGTGAAGCAGGATGAGATTTCGAGGAAGCCCGAGAGGAACAACGGTCAGGTTGTTATTGGACAAATCCAGATATTCCAGACTGTTCAAGTGACTGATGAGAGAAGGCAGGATTGTTTCCATCAGTTACAGCTCAGGTAGGGCTTTTACAAGAAGGTTAGGAAGGAGAGAGCCATGCAGAAGAAAGAGTGCAAGGTAAATGATGTTGTTGTTTTTTTTGTTTATTCAGTCTGCTGACCTGAAGGTCTCGTTATCCATGCCGTCATTACACAGGAAGTTGTTTTGCAGGTAAAGTTCCCGAAGATGGAACAAACTATCGAACGCACCTCCGGGAATCTTCTCCAACTTGTTGTTCTGCAGAAAAACAGACCAAAAAAATTTTAATCACATTACCAGTTGCATTTGAGGTGCATTGAGGCAATGATGCCATTATGTATCATATATTTTGTATTTGTTATGATGACCTTCTGCTATTCTTTTGATGTTAAAAGGAGGTTTTAAATGGTTTGTTCACACAAATTAACAAATCACATCAAAACGTATCACACCAGGTTTGACGTCAATGAACCAATGACATTTGCCATTATTGACTATTATCAATTCAAATATGGTGCATCAAGACTAGCAATGCATTGATATTGACTTTTTAAAAATATCTATACAATTTAAAAAGAAAAATTAAGAATTTACATTAAAAAAAAAAGTGAAAATTTTCAATAGATGATCATGGTTTCAATTATGTCATGGTTGATAACAAAAAATGGCTGATATTTTCATTCTACAGTATTGTACTACAACCAACCAAACAAACAAATAAATACATACATGAATAAATTTTAACTTAACTGGAAGCTATTTTACAAACAAATTTCACTCTAATCATTATCATCATCATTATTATAGTATGAAAAATAGATAAATACTAATTTTGAAATCTGCTACGTAAAAAGTATATAAAAAAGTTTCTTATTAGCGCACAAAAATTGCTCAATCCAACATGTTAAATTTAAAGTGCCCCTATTATGCCATTTCGAATATTGCCTTTCATGCTGTGTGTAATGTAGCTGTATGTGAATGTAAACGATCTGCATAGTTGTAAAGCTGAAAGTGCATGATAAATAAAGTATTTGTCTCCCAAAAGAAAGAATCGACTCTGAACAGCCTAAACGAGTCGTCAGTAATTTGAATCTGTGATGGCTACACATAATACATTTGCATGATGTCCATCTATGTTCTACGTTGATCAGCTGTGGATAACTTGACAGCCACACCATGACACACCATATTTGAATGAAACAAGATTTTCGAGCATGGATGAGATTTGAGAGCTGAACCAGAAGACGCATTAGGGAATCAGGTAGGGAACTAATCATTTTTGTTTCACACAATTTATTTTTGGCTGCACTACAATGACTTCCTAATTCGGATTATTATCAAAGATTGCGTATGGGGACGTGCTTGGGGAATTTGGCAATTGGAAATACAGCATTTTAATTTAACTCTGCAAATGTACAAAATGCCGTGAATAAAGATTAGTTCATTTGGCTGAAAGAAAATTCGAAGAAAATCCCAAGTCACTTATTTGCATCCTGCACTCCGGTCATTCTAGCAGGTTTAACAACGGGAAAAAAACTTGAACAGAATAAAAAGATGGTTTACTTGGTGGCCATATTGGTGGGAGTTCAAAAGTCAGTACTATCCAGAAAATAAAAAAAGTGCTATAAGAACGTTTTGTTTATGTTCCCATTAAGTTCTGAAAAAGTTCATTCTGAATATTCTGTGAACATGAAATGGGTCATATGATGCGATTTCAAGTTTTCCTTTCTCTTTGGAGTGTTACAAGCTGTTTGTGAGTAGATAAGATCCCTAAAGTTGCAAAGACTAAAGTCTCAAACCAAACGCAACGCGTAAAAAGACTGTATAAGTCATTATAATCAGTAATTATTTATGTCCCCACTGGATGCAACAAATGCCTCGTTTATAATGGGTTATATTGGTTTTGTCTCATCGCGCCAGGACAGGGCATCACAATATGGTAAGGGGTGTAACATTTCCGTCACACGCTTGAGGTATTCAGCCAATCACAACGCACTGGATAGCTGGCCAATCAGAGCACACCTCGCTCTTCAGAACGATGAGGTTTGTAAAAATATACGCATTTCAGAAAGGCGGGGCATAGAGGAGAAACAATAATGTACAGTATATGTGGAAAATAATGTGGGTTTTTTTTTACCTTAAACCGCATAAACACGTTTCATTACACCAAATACACAAAAGTTTTAAAAGTCATATGACCCCTTTAAAAAAGTTTTATTTCAGAACACTAATGAGTGCTTGAGGATTCTGATTGGTAGACGGAGACAAGAATTAATAAATAGTGAGAGTGCAACAAGTCTCTCACTCCAAGAGTTGATGGTCTTCTCATTTCAAAACTTTCTGTTCCTCACATGAAACTATCTATAGCTTCCGAAAATTTGAAATATAATATGTACTACTTTTATGGTGCGAAAAAAATTGTGAAAAAAATACCACTTTAGACTGTCCAATGCATGGAAGAATGGAAATGGTTTAATATGACATGAAACTGAGTACATGATGACTGAACTTTCATTTTTTTTCATAATTTAATGAGCCTCACAGTGGTCTTACCTTCATATGTAGGCGGAAGAGGGCGGTGGGCAGACCCTTAGGGACATAACGGAGGAAATTACTGGACATAATGAGGATCTCGAGGTTGTCTGATCCATTAAACATGTTCTCTGGCAGACCGGCATCTGTTAGCTTGTTGTTATGGAGATACACTGACCTGAAGCACAGCACACAGTCCATTAACATGGAGTCACGAAGCAACACATAAACCATGTCGAAAGAGCGCTTTGGGCTTACTTCAGAGCAGGCTTCTGGCCGAACGTGTTGGTGTAGATTTTAGTGAGCTGGTTAGCAGCGAAATCAGCGCTGACCAAAGAGGGAGGGAGGTGTTTAGGAGCTGCTGTGAGCTGCGAACAAGTTTAACGGACAATGTCGAAACAAGTCGGTCATTATGGCAAAATGAACACAATGTAGTGGAATGGATTACTTACATGGATTGTTACTGAATAAATAAATGAATGGACATGAAGGATTGATTCAAGTTGAAATGATTTTTTATGTGAGAAAAAAGGGAACTGAAGTAGCAAAGCTAGAGTTGGTCAATTTTTAATGTATTTTAAAAAAAAAGTATGTTCTGCTCACCAAAGCTGCATTTTTTAAAATAAAAATACAGTAAAAACAGTAATATTGTGAAATATTTTTGCAGGTTAAAATAGCTGTTTTCTATTTAAATATACTGTAAAATATAATTTATTCCTGTGATGCAAAGCTGAATTTCCAGCATCATTACTCCAGTCTTCAGTGTCACATGATCTTCAGAAATCATTCTGATATGCTGATTTGCTGCTCAAGAAACATTTCTGATAATTATCAATGTTGAAATCAGTTGTGCTGTTTTATATTTTTGTAGAAACCATGATATAATATTTTTTTCAGGATTTTTTTATGAATAGAATGTTCAACATTCAGAAAGAATAGCATTTGTTTGAAATATTTTGAAATGTTATAAATGTATTTACTGTCATTTTTGATCCATTTAATGCATCCTTGCTGCATTAATTTCTTTAAAATAAAAAAATAATTCAAAGCTCCATCTTCATTGGAACTTTTCCACCACAAAATATTAAAGAAACAAACAAAAAAATATTCACAAAAAGGATATCAATACAGCATAGTGAAATAGTAAAATATGGTAAAATATAGCAATATCTTGAAATACTGATTACCCTATGTGACACTAATGATTTTTATTTTTTATTTTTTTTTGCTTCAACATAGTGTTTTTATTTAAAAAAAAAAAAAAGTAAGTAGTATTTTACCAAGGCACCACAAAGAAAAAATCATCCACAATATTGCACTGACCCTGGATTTCCATTGTCTAACATTCTTCAAGGAGAAATATTTTATGTTCAATTAAAACATTAGATTTATGTTACAGTTCTGTGTGCAAAAGAAAGATTCCATTTAGAGCTCAAGGTAGTCATGACCCAGCACCGCTAAAAGAGCTGAACTGTGTGTTGTTCTGTGACTTTCCCTCTTAGCACTGAGACCAAGGCCTCCAGCAAGAATGAAGAGGCCATCCAGAGATCCTTCTGAGCAGAACAGTGTGAAGTGAACAGATTGAAAAGAGACATTATATGAGCAGAGAGGTGAAAGAAGATATGCGACATGCTACAGTTACTTTATAGGTGCATCTGTCATATGTGGCCATTAAACTATTTTAAGTAATGAGCTTTAATTATGTGATTCAAGATTCTGAAATGTTTGAGGGACAAAACTTCACAAAAGTATGTGAACGCAGACAGCTCTAGCTAGGCAAATTATGCAAATTATGAAATATACCATTGATATTACCTGAGAAGTTAAAGTAAATGATGACTATTTGATGAATATGCTAACGTTGGCTACCATAGCTATAAATGTATGTTGGCAACAATAGCAATAAACTTTAGATGAAAACTTTAGATTGGGGTAGTTGGATGGGGGAGGGGTGTTGTCTGCTGTTTTGTCCCCACCAATGTCAAAATCAAACCTACAACCTAGATTTAGACATTTTTAACTTTAAACCATTACTTCAGGTTAAAATGGGAGTCCACAATAATCCATAATATAGCTTTCTCCAGCGAAAAAATCATCTTGTCTGAATCAAGAGATATACACAGATCAAGTAACTTTATGGGCTCTATCATACACCCGGCGCAATGCGGCGCAAGTGTTTTTGCTAGTTTCAGCCCGACGCAGTTGTCATTTTCCCGTCCTGCACCGCGTTGTTTAAATAGCACATGCATTTGCGCCCATTTGTGCGCCCATGAGCGTGCTGGTCTAAAAAAGAGGTGTGTTCAGGGGCATTGTTGGCGCGTTGCTATTTTGAGAAACTGAAAATAGACTGCGCCATAGACCAACTCAAACCTGGTCTAAAGTCTGGCGCAATATTTTTTCTCTGTTATTTAAAGAGCGCATTAGTAATATTAGGAATCGCTTTAGACCATGCGCTTAGATCGTTAAAATAGGGCCCTATAAGTGAAAATAGTCCAAAACAAACATGTTGGTGGATTTTGATGTGAGAGGACAACAGGGGATGAACATTTTCCACTGGATAAAGCAATATTATGGATTATGGCAACAGTTTGAAGTTATGGATTGGTTTCTTACAAATGCACAGCTTTTCACTTCACAAGACATTAACTGATGGACTGGAGTGGTGTGGATTATTGTGATGTTTTATCAGCTGTTTGGACTCTCATTCTGACGGCACCCATTCACTGCAGAGGATCCACTGGTGAGCAAGTAATGTAATGCTACATTTTCCCAAATCTCTTCTGATGAAGAAACAAACTCATCTATATCTTGGATGGCCTGAGGAAGAGTAAATTTTAAGCAAATTTAAATTTGGGGTGAACTTTTCCTTTAATAGACGGGGGTGGTAGTGTTCCTGAACGAAAACAACAACAACAAAAACTGGTGGAAATGTAGGCTATGTAGACATCATGGTCAAAACCCATGAACAGAAGTAAAAAGTATAGAATATTTCATGGACAACGAATACAGTTCTATTGACGAACATGCTTATAAATGCCTCAAACAAGTTGGAATATCTTGCATGTATTTTAAGCCACAAAGTTAGCAAACTTGGCCAAATTCACTGATTCAGAACGGCAAGAATGCATGCTCGACGGCAAACATTCACATCAGCGCATAAGTTTCTGCTGTTTGCTTTGTCTTTCATTGGTGCGTTTTTGTCTTGCTTTTCTAGCAGGATGGTGAGATTACACGGATAAGATAAAATCTCAGTAGGATCTCTTTCTCTTGCCGTTATCCTTTTTTAAGTCCATCAGCAACAAATCTGTCCAGCGCACACTCTGGAGGTCGCTGGGACCGCTTTTGCTCCCATGGCCTGGCGCGCACTGCTGGGTGATTAACGGGGAAAGCTGGCATGTGTGTGTGTTAAAGCCTTGCCATCGCTGTTACCAGCTGGCATAAGAACAGTCCACAGCACTGACAGTAATGAGGGATTGAGAGGAGCTGAACAGTGCCAAACTGGCAGCCAATAACAGAACACGACTGACTCTCTCATGACCAACATAAACAGCATACTCCAGTTCTCTCCAGTCAGTGTTAAACAGAGCTGGGAAAGGCTTCAGTCTTGGAAAACCAATGTTAGTGCATCACTCTCAGGGGCCATGATCGAAACCCCTGGCCTTTAAATGAAACTCAACATTTTAGAGGTTTTATTTTTATTATAACAACTCAATCTTTTTTCTTTTTCTTTTTTTTTTTATTTGTTATGAAAAGCGTGTGCCCTTGCCAACAAAAATGTCGCAATTAAAACACACCACAGTCTGATTACATGATGAATAGAAACAGGTTTTGTTTTTAATTCACTGCGAACAATATGCTAAAACATTGAAAATTAAGACGTCCCATATGTGTTCCAGATCATGTGAATGATTGTTCTAATTATATGCATACTAAGTGATCAGAAGCACCATTTTCACCAGCTAGACCATAAAACAGGTGAAAATCTCACTAAACCAGACTCTACAGACCAAACTAACATGCTAACAACCATATACCCATCTAACAAAAATATGTTCTAGGAACAATTTACTAATGTTCCTATTAAGTTATAAAAATATACTTGGTTACTTACGTAATCTCGGTTCCCTGAGATACGGGAACGAGTACTGCGCCGCTAGATGCTTATGGGGAAAAACTCCTTTTTCTCAGAGGACTGAAGCCTTTACAATCACGCAGTGTAACTGCACGGCCATTGGTTTGTGCAGTAAATAAAAAACAAACCTATGGCGACGAAGCCCGCCAGAGCCCGCCAGAATGGGCGGGCCGTCTGGCTATATAAGCGGGCATTTCGCCATAGGATCTCAGGTAAATTCAACTGAAGCGACGACACTGAGTCATGCAGCGTCATGGCACGGCAAGGAACCCAGTCCTCACTCCCGTATCTCAGGGAACCGAGGTTACGTAAGTAACCAAGTACGTTCCCTTTCAATACTTCACTCATACTGCGTCGCTAGACGCTTATGGGGAACCAATACAATCCCGCCATGTCATGAAAGAGGAACGACTAACATGAACTGGCCTTGAGCATAAAAGGCTCAGAGGGATCAATTATACACAGGGTGAGCCCTGCGGGAGGCAAGAGGCTGAACGCACTGAGGTCAGCCCGGCCTTGGATAATCGTTTCAACGGTTTTGTACAGCCTCAGCACTACTGAAAGGGCCAAAAGTGTACCTGAAAAAACAGGCAATGCCTGAAGAAATAGACCACCTTACGCAGGTGCGTATCCATTTAAGCAGATAGAATCCGAGCCTGCAAGGCCGGAACTTCCAAGTTATAGAACCTGGTGAAAGTGGACGCGTGGCCCAGCCGACCGGCGTATGACTAGGATGACTTTGGAGTCGTTAGGCCTAAACTCAAGACAGGCAGGACTTAGCCAATATTCCTGTGGCTCAGTGGTAGAGCATTGCGTTAGCAGCGCAAAATGTTGTGGGTTCGATTCCCAGGGAACACACATACTGGTAAAATAAAAAATGTATAGCCTGAATGCACTGTAAGTCGCTTTGGATAAAAGCGTCTGCTAAATGCATAAATTAATTAAATTAATTATCGAGAGAGCCTGCAAATCACCTACTCGTTTAAATTATGCTAAAGCCAGTAGCAGAGCGGTTTTCAACGACAGGGTTTTCAAGTCTGCAGACTGTAGTGGCTCAAAGGGGGAGCCCTTGAGGGCTCTCAGGACCGTGGGCAGGTCCGGGCGGATTGAGCCTCCTGAATCCTTTAAGGAAATGGACAACTAAGTTGTTCCGGCCCACAGACTGTCCGGCTATAGGAGCATGGGAAGCTGCTATAGCTGCCACATAGACCTTGAACGTGGAATGGGAGCGGCCCTTGTCCAACAACTCTTGAAGGTAGGACAATATCACTGATATGTCACATGAAACTGGGTTTTTGCCACGGGTTGTGCACCAGGCGGAAAAGACCGACCACTAAAGGGCATAGAGGCGTCTCGTAGACGGGGCTCTACCCTGTGAGATAGTATTGATGATGCTCTCAGGGAGATCTACTGATTCTCATCGAGAGCCCAGAGGTGCAGAGCCCACAGCTCGGGCGGGGGGTGCCAAATCGTCCTGTTCGCCTGAGAGAGAAGGTCCTGCCTCCGGGGAATAGGCCACGGGGCTGCTGTCAAAAGTTGAGACAGCTCTGAAACCCAATGCTGGTTCCTCCAGAGCGTGGCCACCAGAAGGACTCTGTGTCTGTGTTCCCTGACTCGTCTGATTACCTGTGGGATCAGAACGATCGGGGAAAAACCATATAGGAGGAGGTTGGGCCAATCGTGGGCCAATGCGTCCTCGCTCTTCGAAAAATAAGTTGGGCAATGAGAGTTGTCTTTTAAGGCAAAGAGGTCGACCTCTGCCCTGCCAAAGATCTCCCAGATTCTCTGAACCGTTTGTGGGTGGAGCATCCACTCCTCTGAGGGGACGTTGCTCCGAGATAGCATGTCTGCTCCTCGGTTCAATATTCCGGGCACATGTGCTGCCCTCAATGAACGCAGGTTAAGATGTGCCCACTCCAAGAGGCGTTTTACCATCTCAAAAAGGCGTTTCGAGGTGAGCCCGCCCTGGTGATTTATATAGGACACCACTGTCATGCTGTCTGAGCGGACTAGCACGTGGTGTCCCTTCAGGTCCGGTAAGAAGGTGATCAGAAGATTCTAAAGCTCATTCTCATGTGGACAAAGTCGAAAACTGCTCCCAGGAACGAAGTTCATTGGCTGGGAGACAGAGAGCTCTTGGCAAAATTGACCCTGAGTCCCAGGCACTCTAAGTGGCTGAGGAGGAGAGATCTGTGGGATATTAGCTCGGCCTCTGACTGGGCTAAGATGAGCCAGTCTTTGAGGTAATTCAGAATGCGGACTGCCATCTGCCTCAGAGGGGAGAGGGCCATGTCCATGCACTTCGTAAAAGTGCGGGGAGCCAGGGACAGTCCGAAGGCCAGGAGCGTGTACTGATATGCCACTCCCTGGAAGGTGAATCTCAAGAATCGTCTGTGATGGGGGGCTACCTGAATGTGAAAGTAAGCATCTTTCAGATCCAGAGAAAAGAACCAGTCCCCTTGGCGTATTTGCGAGAGCCCCCCGCTGTTTTATCCTCACAGGTCCCTGGGAGGAAGAATATGGGAGGGCGCGAGGGGCGGAGTCGCTCTCTGAAAAGAAAGCGATCCGAGCGCACAGAGAGGCGAGACTCATGTTCACGCAGTGTGAACACTCTATCTCGGTCAAAGCGGCTTCTGCGTGGGGCTTGCCCAAACAGGAAACGCACTCCGAGTGGCCATCGTCAGCGTGCTTCAGATCCAGAGAAAAGAACCAGTCCCCTTGGCGTATTTGCGAGAGCATCTGCTTCAGGGTAGTCATTCTGAACGGCCGTTTTCATGAGGGCACGGTTCAGGTGTCTGAGATCGAGGATGGGCCGGAGGCCGCCATCCTTTTTGGGGACGAGGAAGTAACAGCTGTAGAAACCTGACTCGCTCTGAGCTGGCGGAACCGTCTCTACAGCTCCTTTTGCCAGTAAATTCTTCACCTCAGATCGTAAGACGTGAGCGTTCTTGCTCTGCACTGTGCAGCCTGGCTCATCGTGAGGAGGCAGTTTTTCGTAGCCTCTTTCCTCAGTGCCATCTACTGAGGACAGCGCAGAAGAAGAGGATGTGCCAAGGCGAGCCGAGTAGGGAGCGCACCACGATTTCGTGAGCTCGTCTTGGACCTCCGGGAAAAACGGGGAGGCTCGTTGACGAGGGGCCTGGCGGTGGCCCGGCAGGAACCATTCGTCCAGATGGCTATGAGTGGGCTCCTCCGGCGTAGACCACTCCAGTCCCAGCTCTTTGACCGCTTTAGAGAGGACACGGAAAAGTTCGGCATCCATCCCTTGCTTGGCGTCGCTGGGATCGGCAGACGGCAAAGGGGCGAGGTCGATAGTAGAGCCCGACATCTCCTCCGCGTCTGACACTATTAGAGACATGCTGTGATCTAATAGCTCGTCCTCCATCACACCGAATGAGACCATGTCGCTGGCATCAGCCGAGGGACGCTGGTCTGAGTGTTCAAAGAGGATGGGAGAACCCTCTCTGCTTGGTGAGGGCAAGGCACGTGAGATCTCGGCCAGCGTGAGCTCGCTCGTAGCCGAGCGCTCAGTCCCCTTGCCCCGCTGTTTTATCCTCACAGGTCCCTGGGAGGAAGAATATGGGAGGGCGCGAGGGGCGGAGTCGCTCTCTGAAAAGAAAGCGATCCGAGCGCGCAAAGAGGCAAGACTCATGTTCACGCAGTGTGAACACTCCATCTCGGTCAGAGCGGTGTGGGGCTCGAGCTGACGTCTGCACCGAACGCTGAAGGCAGCTCGTTGAGCGGGCGGGAACAGCAGAGAGGCGCAGAGGAAAAGGCAGCTTCTGTCCGCGAGAGACTGACTGGGAACGCGAGCGACCCGGGGAGACGGGTGTAGATACACGGAAGCAAGTTGTGTTACGTTTGTTATGAGTTATTTACTGCGAGTCTGACAGCGCTGATGGAGCGCCGTATTGTGTGCAGTGCCCAAGAAATTTAAATAAAGCTCGCGTCCCAGCAAGCCGACCCTGCCTTCTTCCTTCCACACTCCTGAACCTTTACTACAATTACTTTGACAGAACCTTGCCAGAACATTAACCAAAGTTTTGAGAATGCTCCCTTTTAGCTGGGTAGTATTATGCTGACATGTGTTGAGAACGCATTAGCAACCACAAAGCAACGCCATGGCAACTACTCTAGCCTCATGCCAATCAGAAATTAAAGAGATATAAAAGTCGAAATTTGGATACAAAATTAGTTGTGGTTATGATGTCACAATCATTTGCTAATTAACATATGACTACCCACATTAACATGTGAACAGCTATTCAGTCTATAGAATGATGAAGGAAGGAGTGAACTATGCTGGAGGTAATTTGCATAAAAACAACTAATTCTAAGGATGGAAAAACAGTGATGGAAAACTAAATTACAACTTTGGTGCAAAACCCTTTCTTAAAATTATATATGGACTTCAAGGAGAAAATGCCTCTCTAAATACAAATCATAAAAACTTCTGAGCCTGTGAGATGCATTCAAGTTAGACACTGAATAGAGAGGAGGGGACTTGAGGACCTGTGAGGAAAACGGGAGGGCGCAAGGGGCGGAGTCACTCTCTGAAAAGAAAGCGATCCGAGCGCACAGAGAGGCGAGACTCATGTTCACGCAGTGTGAACACTCTATCTCGGTCAAAGCGGCTTCTGCGTGGGGCTTGCCCAAACAGGAAACGCACTCCGAGTGGCCATCGTCAGCGTGCAGTGCAATCCTGCACGAGCCGCAATGACGGCGCGGCATTTGAAACAAATGCAAACGCCGCTGCTCTTTTAGTAGCAAAAATTTGCTTTTTTAGGCTCGCCAATTATATATGGACTTCAAGGAGAAAATGCCTCTCTAAATACAAATCATAAAAACTTCTGAGCCTGTGAGATGCATTCAAGTTAGACACTGAATAGAGAGTGAAAGGGAGAGAGAGAGAGAGAGAGAGAGAGAGATGGGAGTTTGAGAATAAACATTGATGACTCACCTTATTATTTGCCAAGTATAAATAACTCAGCCTTTCCAGAATATGAAACCCTTCATCATCAAGGCCTGCACGCACACACACACACACACATTATTGCTTGACATGCAGCAAATACCTTAATTTCATGTTTCATTTCAAGAATTATTAATGTTCATATAAGCTATACATACATAAACGCATTCTCTACCATTCAAAAGTTTTTTAAATGTTAAGATTTTTTAAAAGTCTCTTCTGCCAACCAAGGCTGCGTTTATTTGAACAAGTATAAACAGTAATATTGTGAAATATTATTACAATTTAAAATAACTGTTTTCTATTTTAATATATTTTAAAGTATAATTTATTTCTGCGATCAAAGCTGAATTTTCAGCATCATTACTCCAGTCTTCAGTGTCACATGATCCTTCAGAAATCATTCTAATATGCTGATTTGCTGCTCAAGAAACATTTCTGATTATTATCAATGTTGAAATCAGTTGCACTGCTTTATATTTTTGTGGAATCCGTATTACATTTTATTTTTCAGGATTCTTTGATAGAGTCGCTCTCTGAAAAGAAAGCGATCAGAGCACGCAGAGAGGCTAGATTCATGTTCACGCAGTGTGAACACTCCATCTAGGTCAGAGCGGCTTCTGCGTGGGGCTTGCCCAAACAGGAAACGCACTCCGAGTGGCCATCGTCAGCGTGCAGTGCAATCCTGCACGAGCCGCAATGACGGCGCGGCATTTGAAACAAATGCAAACGCCGCTGCTCTTTTAGTAGCAAAAATTTGGATGGCGGCAGGGGATGAGCTGACGTCTGCGCTGAACGCTGAAGGCGGCTCGTAGAGCGGGCGGGAACAGCAGAGAGGCACAGAGGAAAAGGCAGCTTCTGTCCGCAGCGAGGCGTGTCAACGGCAAGCGCTTCAAGTCCCGTAGATCAGCGAAGGGAAGATCGTCGTCGCTGAAGGAGAATTGATCTGAGATCCTATGGCTAAAAGCCCACTTATATAGCCAGATGGCCCCGCCCATTCTGGCAGGCTTCGTCGCCATAGGCTCGTGCAGCTCCACTGCCGAGCCATTGACTGCTCAAGAAACATTTCTGATTATTATCAATGTTGAAATCAGTTGCACTGCTTTATATTTTTGTGGAATCCGTATTACATTTTATTTTTCAGGATTCTTTGATGAATAGAAAGTTCAACAGAACAGCAATTATTTGAAACAGAAATCTTTTGTAACATTATGAATGTCTTTATTGAAACAACGCCGCTGCTCTTTTAGTAACGAAAATTTGCTTTTTAGACTTGACGGATGACGGCAGGGAACGAGCTGACGTCTGCGCTGAACGCTGAAGGCGGCTGTAGAGCGGGCGTGAACAGCAAAGAGGTGCAGAGGAAAAGGCAGCTTCTGTCCGCAGCGAGGCGTGTCAACGGCAAGCGCTTCAAGTCCCGTAGATCAGCGAAGGGAAGATCGTCGTCGCTGAAGGAGAATTGATCTGAGATCCTATGGCTAAAAGCCCACTTATATAGCCAGATGGCCCCGCCCATTCTGGCAGGCTTCGTCGCCATAGGCTCGTGCAGCTCCACTGCCGAGCCATTGATTCGTTTTTTATTTACTGCACAAACCAATGGCCGTGCAGTTACACTACGTGATTGTAAAGGCTTCAGTCCTCAGAGAAAAAGGAGTTTTTCCCCATAAGTGTCTAGCAACGCAGTACGAGTGAAGTATCGAACGGGAACATTATTTCTGAATGTTCTCTGAACGTTCAAAACATACAGTTTTTTAAATGTTTTGAAAACATGTGAACGTTAAAAGAAAATTCCATTGTATTATTTTGCAAACATTATGGGAATGTTACTTTTGAATGTTCTCTGAACATTCTGAAACAAGTGACATTTCAAAAAATGTTAGACGAATGTCCAACTAAAACATTTCAGAAAGAAAGTTCCATGAATTATGTATAAATACCATTTTAACTTTGAACGAACATTATATTAGCGTTACTGGAAGAACGTTTGTTCATTACTGTGGCGGGGGGGCGTGGTTCAGCGAGGTCTGCATCGGGAGAGAGAGGCAGGAGACGAGCGGTGCGTAAGTGGGTCAAGTGCAAATGATAAACACCTGTGTCTTGTTTCAGTAATTGGTGTGGAGAGACCGGATGATTTGCTGCTCAAGAAACATTTCTGATTATTATCAATGTTGAAATCAGTTGCACTGCTTTATATTTTTGTGGAATCCGTATTACATTTTATTTTTCAGGATTCTTTGATGAATAGAAAGTTCAACAGAACAGCAATTATTTGAAACAGAAATCTTTTGTAACATTATGAATGTCTTTACTGTCACTTTTGACTAATTTAATGGATCCTTGCTGAATAAAAGTATACATGTATGGAACAGCATGTGTGTTTGAACGACTTGAGAGGATTTAAATAATATCAGGATTTTCATTTTTGGCCGAACTATTGCTTTAAACAAAAGTAATCTGCCGAAAACATTTCCACTTCAAACAGTCATGTTGACCACATATGCAGGAAAGAGCACGATCCAAACCCTTTCCTTCTGCATCCCTCCATCCTGCTCTCTCTCTCTCTCTCTCATCCTGACCCTCTGTAACAGATCATTCTCTGCTGTTTTCAGCCGCTGTCCTCTGCTGACCCTCTCATCAGCCGTACCTTGTGTCGTGAGCCGGTTGTTCTGTAGGTTTAGGGTCTCCAGCTGCTGAAGACCTGACAGATGCTCCAGCGTGACCTCAGTGATTTGGTTATTCTGGGACAGAACAGAAAAATAAATCACATTTAACCCGTTAAAGCATACTGTATCACATTATATATGCAGATTTCTAAGGCCGCTAAATGATCAACATGATCAGTAAGTTGCTGAACAACCTGTCGCACACAATCTACAACATGCCTTCTGTCATCTGATTGATAGTTTATTTTTTAGCAAGTAAAAGGTATTTTAGTGTAATTGTACAAACGTCCATCTTCAGCTCGTGCTTCATGTGTCTTTTTGCTGTGACATTTTTACTGATGTTCATAAGGGATAGCTTTTATATTGTTAGTAATATTTCAAGACAAACACTTACTGGACTGAAGTAGGTTTACTTGATTATCCAGACATCTCAAATATCTCAAGGCTTCGTTTATTTGTTCATCTCTCATTCATCATTGTATTGCATTGCATTATATGATTTGATCATAAAACTAAGCATTTATATATATATATATATATATATATATATACACTACCAGTCAAAAGTTTGGAATCATTTAGATTTGTTGATGTTTTTGAAAGCTGTCTCTTCTGCTAACCAAGGCTGCAACTATTTGAACTATTAAAAAAATAATAATAATAAATAAAAAAATATTGTAAAATAGTATTACAATTTAAAATAGCTGTTTTCTATTTCAATATATTTAAAAATTTATTTATTTATTTACTCAGCAAGGATGCATTAAAATGATCAAAAGATATTGTATAGACATTTATAATGTTACAAAAGTTTTCTATTCCATTTCATTCAAATAAATGCTGCTCCATCAAATTTTCTATTCATCAAAAAATTCTGAAAAAAAAAAAAAACACGGTTTCAACAGAAATATGAAGCAGTGTTTTCAACACATATTATCGGAGATATAGAGTGACAACTGATATTTATATAATTTTATGTAAGTATCTGCTATATACTGTTATAAAGATCTCATTGATTTCCATCAGAATTTCATCTTAATTTTTGGCCATATGAATATCAGTATCTGCACCAAATTGCGTATTTTTGCTCAGTTTGAGTCTCTATAAAATTAAGGTGTTTTTTTCCTCCATATTCTCACTATATCATATTTGAGCCATAAAAGCCTGGCATATCAAATCATACTAAAAAAAAACACACACATGCAAAGTTTTTTTTAGTTTAAAGGTTCAATAAATTGCTCCATTTCAAGAAATTTGATTTTTCTGACTATTATTTCACATGTCAAGCTTTGCAGGGTTTAAAGGATAGTTCACCCCAAAAATAAAAAATCGGTCATCATTTACTCACCCTCATGTTGTTCCAAACCCGTACAACTTTCTTTCTTCTGTGAAACACAAATGGAGATGTTTAGCAGAACGTCCCAGCTGCTGTTTTCTATACAATGATAAAAGTTATATGAATGGGAATGGATGCTTTCAAGTTCCAAATGGACAAAAAAGCACCATAAAAGTTGTTCATACACTATATTTTAAGTCTTCTGGAGCCATAAAATAATTTTGTTTGCTTTCAAATCTTTAATTGCATTTCAATATTCAAACTAGTGCACCATTATCCCTTATCAGACTGTCAAATTTTTTTTTAAAGAATTATAAAGGAGTTGAGTTGAAGTGTCAATTGCTCATAAGGATCCCTTAAAACAGAATTTTTGTACAAATCTAATGATTAATTGCATCAAGTTTGTTTTTAATTACATTTACATTTTTAACTAAGCAGACTTATTTTATACAAAGCGACTTATAAATTAGGAACATGCACAAAGTATGATAATTATTAGTTTGATTATTATGAATCACCCTAAATTAAACCATTAAGCCATTAAACTGAAAGGCCTAGGTATAATACAAGCCCCATCATATTCTTAGAGAACAGTGATATGATTTTCATCTGCTATAACAAAAAGCTATCATATGGCGTCAGAAGAATTTAAATATAGTGCACTAGTCATATGAAATACTGTTATAGTGCATTTGATTGTCATTTTTGAAATTCAACAGCGTGGTTATTAAAAAGAAAATGGACATTCTGCAGTCTGTCTTCATTTGTATTCCATAAAACAAAGAATACATACAGGGTTGTAATAACACGAGGGTCATTTTTAGGTGATCTCAAAAAATTCTGAAAAAAAAAAAAAACACGGTTTCAACAGAAATATGAAGCAGTGTTTTCAACTGATAATAATCAGAAATGTTTCTTGAGCAGCAATCAGCATATTAGAATGATTTCTGAAGATCATGTGACACTGAAGACTGGAGTAATGATGCTGAAAATACAGCTTTGATCACAGGAATAAATTATACTTTAACGTATATTCAAATAGAAAACAGTTCTGTTAAACTGAAGTAATATTTCACAATATGACTGTTTTTACTGAATTTTTATTCAAATAAATGCAGCCTTTGTGGGCAGAAGAGATTTTTTTTAAACATTTAAAAATCTTACATATAGAATTTGTTTTTAAAAGAGTGACATTTTGATTCATGAATACATTAATCACCAGACCTCCCAAACTCTTACATCCCAAACATTTCAGATGCTCAGGGTTGATTATTTCTGTCAGATTTTATCACATAAACAAGAAGCAAAATATTCAGGAAAAGTGTGCCTGGGGAAGCAATCAGAATCTGCAAACAAACCCACGCACCTGCAGGGACAGCTGGCGGGTCTGTTCGGATAAATCCTGTGGGAATTCAGTGAGACTAACTCCATTACAGTCCACCGCTCCATCCCCGCTGCAGCTGCATTTCTCTGGACAAGATATCTGTAGCTCCACATTTTTCACGGTTCCGAGTGGGTCCTCCGCCTCTCCGTCCTCCTCATCCAGCTTTAGGTCTGTTTCCGCCTGACCTCGAACCAGAGTCCAGCCCAGCAGAACCAAACACAGCAGCTCCAGCAGGCCGCGCCGCTGACACATGGCTTCCGGGCCTCAATGCTTTCACGCAGGCAAAACGAGATCTGTGGTTACCGATCCAGTTAGAAACTTGTGACCTGTGGTTAAAAAGAGTTGATACTTTCTGGATTCACTATGTGACTTTTCTAGGGAGATTTCCATCCTGTACGTGTGTTTATATGGTAAAAAAAAATAAGGGATAAAGGGACAAAAAGCTTTCCAAAAAGAAAGGAAAAAACACAAATAACATCTTAATTATTTTTTTATAGACAGCCATAAGCTTCAAAAGAGATCTCAACTGTGTGAAGAAAGCAAACTCTGCGATTGAAAGTCAAATATCTCTTAACTCAAATATTTTACATCAAATACATCCAAGAACAAATTATTTAAACTATCAGAATTAAATTTATATGTTTATACTCTTATTTTTCAGACAAAAATGTACTCTCTGCAGCTTCGGAGCAATATAATTTTCCAGGTTTGTTTGTCATATGCTGGCCAGAAGTGACAGTTTGTAAAAATCGACGCGTTTCAGAAAGGCGGGGCATAGAAGAGAAACAATAATGTACAATAATGTACTTAAACCCATAAACACATTTCATTACACCAAATACACAAAATAATGTTCTTTTTAGCAACATCATATGACCCCTTTAAAGTTAAAACACCTTAATAAAGAATTTGTTTCTTAAAAACATGCAGCTTTTTGCTTCTCCAGACGTTAATTGATGTACTGGAGTGGTGTGGATTACTTGTGGATTATTGTGTTGTTTTTATCAGCTGTTTGGACTCTCATTCTGACGGCACCCATTCACTGCAGAGCATCCATTGCTGAGCAAGTGACATAATGCTACATTTCTCCAAATCTGATGAAGAAACTCATCTACTGTATTTTGGGTGGACTGAGAGTGAGTAAACGTTCAGCAAATTTTCATTTCTGAGTGAACTATGCCTTTAAACTAGGATAGAATAGAGTATTTCAACACAGAAAGAAAACAACTCTTCAGCTTTAAGTGTTTCAGGTGGCCAAACACCTGCTCAGAGCCGAATCTGCACAGATCAAGCACGGTTTACAAGAGAAAACAGTCCAAAACAAGTATGGTAAGGGGAGTAACATTTCCGTCACACGCTTGAGGTATTCGACTTTTTCACTGGAGGAAGCGTTATTATGGATTATGGGCTCGTATTTTAGAAGGAAGAAACGGTTTGAAGTTAAAAACGTCTGAATGATGGATTTGTTTCTCACAAACATGCAGCTTTTGGCTTCACAAGACGTTAATTGATGGACTGGAGTGCTGTGGATTACTTGTGGATTATTGTGATGTTTTTATCAGCTGTTTGGACTCTCATTCTGACGGCACCCATTCACTGCAGAGGATCCATTGCTGAGCAAGTGATGCAATACTACATTTCTCCAAATCTGTTCCCATGAAGAAATAAACTGCATCTTGGATGGTCTGAGGGTGAGTAAATCACAGCAAATTCTCATTTCTGGGTGAACTATTCCTTTCATTTCTCAGAGAGCTGTGTCGATACAGGACACTCTCGTTCTGTGATTATTTTGCACATTAGCAAACTGCCTGATACAACAGCTAATCACTGTGGTGCTCCAAATGATAATGTGGCTTATTTCGCCTCAGTAAAAAAAATAAAGCTCTGGGTTCATCCGCCACGAAAACACCACCAAACCCCTGATCTGAGAGCAGTTTTCTCCAACGTGTTCATACAAACTCCAACATTCCTCGTCTGAAGCCCAGTTTCCCAAAGGCCTGCTAAGGAATTGGAAGGAAAATGAACTGATAAAAAAAAATTCTGGAATGAGTTCCAACAACCGCAAACAGGTGTCTAACATAAACACGGTTCACATCTCTGCAAGAGCTGGAAGAGATGGCATGGGGAAGAGACCTTCTAGAAAAATCTCACTCTAATAACCAGTGAGGACAGAATATTCTTACAGCAGCTCCAGAGTTACATTAGTATTATTATCTTTTTCTAACTGATCGGACTAAAAATGACAATCAATCAATCTATCTATCTAATCTACTTCAAACTTTCTTTCCAGGCTTTCTCAACCCACCATAAAGTTGTCTAGTTTATATATCATAGTGTTTACTAATATTTTGAATTAGCTTTTTTTTTATTTTCAGTTTATATCTTTCATTTATTTTAAGTTTTAAAAACGTTGTGATTTTTATAATAATAATAATAATAATATTTTTATATTTTTTATTATGTATAATAGCTTTTTATATATTCCTATTTAGCTTCAATTTACTTCAGTTTTAGTTTTAGGAATTTTAGCACTTCAATTTAAACTTATCTCAGTTAGTTTCCAAGGCAACATTTCTAACTCTCATTTTTTGTGTAATATTTATATTTTATTTCAGCTTCATTTCAAGTAATAAAAATGATTTCAATGTTTCAGTTTTAGTTAACAACAACAGCACTGCTCCAAACCTCTCATGACCGTCGTTTTGCCAAGTAGGACGTGTTCCAACATCATTTTCTTACAACATCCGAGTCAAACAAGCATAGTTGTAACTGTTTTCCCAACCGCAACCAATGATAGCTTGATGTGAACATTGTTCAATCCTGACCTTAAAATCTGATAGGAATATTGTTCCATTAACAACAAGGACGCTGGTCCAGGAACATGTTCTACTTCGCGAAATCATAATTAGCATACTGAAATATCGATTTCAGTGACTCATCACATGCATAGCAGGCAGTTTATATGCAGCGAGGTCCAAAAGAGATCACATTAATCTAAAACAAAGAAGTATTATGATGTAAAAAGGCACTCTTTAACATCCATGGAATCTTTACATTTCACAAAAAGTTCTTTAAAGTGGAAAATAGTTCTTTAGTTTTTTTAAAAAGATCTTCACACAAACAAACAAAAAAAATGGTTCTTTTCAATGGTTCACTAAAAGGTTGAACCATCAACCCTACTAAATATTGAGAAAATCGCCTTTAAAGTTGTCCAAATTAAGTTCGTAGCAATGCATGTTACTAATCAAAAATTAAGTTTTGATATATTTACAGTAGGAAATTTACAAAATATCTTCATGGAACATGATCTTTACTTAATAATAATTTTTGGCATAAAAGAAAAATCTATAATTTTGACCCATACAATGTATTTTTGGCTATAGCTACAAATATACCCCAGCGACTTAAGACTGCTTTTGTGCTCCAGGGTCACATTTGTAAAATGTGCATTAAAGTTGAACTTTTGTGCCATTATTATATGAATATGATATGCAATCTAAATGCTAGCATATCTCTAAAAGTTCAACATTCATTTTCAGCAGATATGCATTTTTAAATTTTAAAAATATTTATGACTCGTGTTGCACCACACAGATTTTTGTCCAAGCAAAAGCTTGTGTGAATGAGAAAGTCCCGCTCCTTAATACAACCAGAACCCGACTAGAAAGTAGCCAGTCATATTTCATGGATATGATGTAAACCCTATTGGTTATTTAAATAAGGTCTTGAAAGTTAAGATGAAAGAGTTTACTGAAAAAGTCCTCGCCTTCAGGCCATCCAAGATTAGGATGAGTTTGTTTCTTCATCAGATTTGAAGAAGTGTGTCATTACATCACTTGCTCACCAATGGATACTCTGCAGTGAATGGGTGCCGTCAGAATTAGAGTCCAAACAGCTGATAAAAACATCACAGTAATCCACACCACTCCAGTCCACCAATTGTCTTGTGAAGAGCAAAGCTGAGTGTTTATAAGAAACAAATTCATCATTACGGCATTTTAACTTCCTCCAGTGAAAAAGTCATCTTGTCTGAATCAGGAGAGAAATATGCACAGATCAAGCATTGTCCATTGTAAATTAGGAGGATGATTAAAGAAAACAAATTATTATAATATTTTATGAAAAATTCAGAATTGGCAAATAACAAATAGAAACGATTTTCTTTGCATGCATAATAACACCAGGTTGAGCTATTAGAAAGCAAATAGGACTCATTTTGAGGTACATGGATGAAGAGTGCAGACAGAGTACTCCTGATCCCGCCAAGGACAAACTCTAATGTTAAAAACGGGGAGCGTCTCATGTAAACACATTTCACAGGCATTATCTCAGACTGCTGCACTTGCAGACTTTTCAATGCACTGACATGTCTTCTTAAAGGCAGAGTAAGTGATTTCTGGTAGCCAATGTTGATATTTGAAATCACCAAAACAAACACGGCCCTACCCCAAAAGGGTCTTGCCCCTATTTTGATAGCTCCGCCCCACATATACGTACGCAACCCAGGCAACGATTAGTTCTGTGAAACAAAGCAAAAGCAATGTTACACCGTGTCTACGGACGTGAGCGGCGCGGCGCGGCGCAACAAATCCCGACAGAAAACTGCTGCCGGGTTCTATTTATGACGTGCTGACATACATTTCAAATGGTTTTCAACGGTCGTTTGATCGCGTCCAGTGTAGGCAGACTTTAGCTGTTGTAAACACCGTGTTACTCACCTATTGAGAAGAAACAAAGCAACCTCGGCGTCCGATCGCAGGCCTCCGCTCCTTGAGTTCTCTCCAGCGCTGGAAAGCTGATCCGATATTTACACGGGTCCTACTTCTTGCCTTATCGTTCCGCAGACGTTTTCCTCTTTTGTTTTTTATCCACCATCTCTATCTCTCTGTCGCTCGGCTCGGCTAATGTCCGTCCCATGCACTGAAAGCTCTCTCCTCCACATCACGAGTAGACACGCCCCTTATTGCTGATTGGCTACAAGTTTGTTTTGCTATTTGGCCCGAATCAGTTTTCTAAAGTGTTTTTGAAAAATCACATACCCTGCCTTTAATGGCTATAAAATGAGACAATGGGCAAGACGAGAGTCACTGCAGTTCAGCTTCAGTCTGATTTGTGCGTGTTGAAAAGGCACTTAACCACAACCTGAAAAACGAAGGCACTTGCACACACGTTACTTCGCTAGCTAAATGGGGGCATTACATAGACTTCTGTTTTTATGTACTGATAGTTATAGATTTTATAAGCTAATCCTAACCCACACCCTAACCCTACCCCTTACAGAAAACTTTTTGCATTTTTACAATTTAAAAAAGGAGCTTTTTG